AAAAAAAACATACACTTTTTTGGTTATTATTTTTAGAGGCTACACAATGTTATTTTTCCTATAAAATTTTATTTGGCTAATGGACTTTGCAAGCCTAAAACTTAAAAGTGCCAGCAAAGATACAAAGATGAAAAAGAAAAATTGTTAACCTACCAATTTTTTTTATTTTTAAAAAAGGAATAAAAATCACAAGTGAAATGAAAATCATTGGACTGATAAATGATATGATGTACTAGTACATGAACTTTCAATAAAAGAACTTGTGATCAATTGATCAAACAATTCTCTGGAAACATTCAAAGTACAACTTAAATGACAAAACAATTGCAATAATAAAAGGATTAAGGAAAACAACAAATAAAGAATTACAAATATTGATATCATGCCTTAAACTCAATAAATAGATCCCTTAAGACTATGTTATGTTGGAGAATGGCCTTTTAAAAACATGGTGAACATGAAAGATGAAGCTTTAATAATATGGAGGAGGTGGTGATGGAGAAGGAGTTGAAGATGATTGATAATAGTATGGAGGTGGTGGTGATGGTGAAGGAGGAGGGAGCGAATTATAGTAATATGGTGGTGGAGGAGATGGTGAAGATTTCTTATAGTAGCCATTCTTTGGCAAAGAGGGCACATTGTATTCCGGTTTAGGCAATGAGGGTACCTTGTAGTAGTTATCCTTTGGAACAGATGGTACCTTGTAGTTATCGTTTGAAACTGATGGCTTTTTGTAGTCATTCTTTGGTACAGATGACACCTGGTATTCTGGTTTAGGCACTGAGGGTACCGTATAGTAGTTATCCTTTGGAACGGATGACACTTTGTAGTTATTCTTTGGAACTGATGGATTTTTATAGTAGTTATTCTTTGGTACAGATGGCACCTGGTATTCCAATTTAGGCACTGAGGGTGCCTTATAGTAACTATCCTTTGGAACAGAAGGCACTTTGTAGTTATTCTTTGAAACTAATGGCTTTTTGTAGTAGTCATTCTTTGGTACAGATGGCACCTCGTATTCTTGTTTAGGCGCTGAGGGTGCCTTGTAATAGTTATCTTTTGGAACTGATGGTTTCTTGTAGTAGTCGTTCTTTGGTAAAGATGACACCTTGTATTCCTGTTTAGGCACTGAAGGTACCTTGTAGTAGTTATCTTTTGGAAGAGATGACACCTTCTTGTAGTTATATTCTGGAACAGATAGTTTCTTGTAGTAGTCATTCTTTGGCAAAGATGGCGCCTGGTATTCCTGTTTAGGCACTGAAGGTACCTTGTAGTAGTTATCTTTGGGAACAGATGACATCTTCTTGTAGTTATCTTTTGGAACTGATGGCTTCGTATAGTAGTTATCCTCTGGCAAAGATGACGCCTTGTATTCCTGTTTAGGCATTGAAGGTACCTTATAATTGTTCTTGAACACTTGTGGCACTTCGTAATTGTTACTTTTAGTCACAGGACTTGGTACGTTGTTGTATGTTGGAATTGGTGATTTATAAGAATCAGGTGAATATGCTATAGTGCAAGTTGCAATCAAGAAAAATGCTAAAGCACAAGCAAATTGATGCCATTGCTTCTTCATTTGGCTCCCCATTGAGAAGATTTTGGTTCTAAGGCTTATTGGATTGTTTTTTTCTTTTTTTGTGTATTTGAGAATGGTGTAATTAGGAGTTTATATAGCCTAAATTAAGAAGGTGAGTTCATAATTTAGATGCTTATAATAATCCAATCTCATCTGAGATTTTTCCCTTTTTTTGTTAGTGTTGTTCCACTAAGGTCTTGAGATAATGGACAGCATGAATAAATCACATCTTTGCTTGACTCACTTATATTTAAAAAATAATATCCAGAATTTATTGACCTTCAAAAAAATGTTTCCATGTCTACATACATTTCTAAACTAGTGGCAATAAAGGAAAATAGAAAAAACTGCTTTATTTTTCGATATTTTCTGAGCTTATACATTTCACTTTATTTTAATTAAGCTGGCCTTTTATAATATCATATGCCTTTTTAGCGCTAATTTTGATAAAATTGAGAAATTTCAACTGATTCTTTAATTCTTTTAACAAATTGGAAGGAAAAGGGATAACAATTTTTATTCCAAATATGTAGCAACTTAACACTACTAACTTACTCGTGTCTAATTAATAGTTCTGACGTGAATATTTCATTTTGGTTCATCAAAATTATTACAAAAGTTGGTAACAATTTATATATGTATCGATCTATACTAGAAATTTACACAAACTCGTATTCTTTTTTTTTTTTTTGGTTTCCCATCCGGTGTCCGGTACTCACATTGGAGCCCGACTAAATCCGGATTCGCGCCGGAAAGTTCCACATTGGGAGGTAAAACGCTCCCTAACAAAAGTGACTCCATACCCAGAGGCTCGAACCCGAGACCTCTGGTTAAGGATGAAGGAGTACTTACCACTCCATCATATATATGTCATTAATGCTGCAGATAACTTAAGCACGACTTATAATTCAAACATCATGCAGGCCATAATTTTCATAGCGACGAAATGGTGGTGTGAATATATGATCCCTTCATTCTTAACTAAGGTCTCGGGTTCAAGCTTTGAGATCAATGAAGAATTTTTGATATGTAGCATTTTCCCCCTTTTGTGAGATCTATGAAGTGTGAATCTAGATTAGTCGGGCAAGTAAATATCGAATATCACTTGTCAGATGGTTACTTTGATAGAAAAGCATATAATGTTACGAAGAGTTTTGTTTAAAAAGAATTATTTTAGGGATAGAATAGTAAATATTTTGGTCAAACCTAAAGTGCTTATAAGCTGAAATTTGATAAGTTGGGGGAGACCAACTTATGGCTTTTTGCTTATTTTTGGCCTTATAAACACTTTGTTAGAATATACTATAAGCCATGCGTATTGTTATAGTATTCTTTATGAACAATTATTTATTTACTTGTTTAAATTCAATAAAGTTTCATTTTAAATAGATCATGTGTTGGTTTGTGCGTCCATTGCTTACATAGTAGATGATTTAGTGTATAGAGTTTAGCTTATACACGGAAGATTAAATCATCGGTTCTTGTAAGACATAAAAGTTAATGTTCACAATCTAATGATGGAATTGGACAAATCATCGGAATGATTGTAGCACAAGATTAA